GCTGAGCAACTTGGAACCATTTTCTGTGAATGATTGGAAGACACCTATTTCTGTGATGTATCAGAGCTTTGAACTGTGTAAATCCTTGGATTTTACACACACGTAGTGGCTTTAATAATGCTAATCAAAAAGTATTTGAGATTAATTAGCTAATAATAATAATCTGGACATGTTACAGGTATTGTCAGTTCAACTGGTATTTTTTTGTTTTCACAAGTGCTTGACAGAATCCTTACAAAGGAGGGTTGGGTGGCACCTGGCCCGTGTCTTAAAGTCTAGGTCTGCCCATCATGTGCAAAGTGGGTGTGATTTAAACTGTAAAAGAGGAGGAATGCTGGACCCCTCAGACTTTCTCCATGCAGTCTATCCATCCCTTGAGGACATTTTTCCCTAGCCACACTCTACTCCAAGAAATAAGCTTTGCTGTGAGTGAAGAAGCAATGGCTACAGATATGAAACGAGAAACACATGAGTAGATGGTGATTTTTTCCCACCATTCTGTCCAGAGCACCCCTTTTGTGCTTTAGAGTACTCAGGTCTGCTGCTGCCTTATTTAGGTTGGCTACTTACCTCACCTGCTTTATTACTGTTTAATAATATTATTCTTAAGCACATGCATTTAGGAGGAAGTCGCATTGAACATAGTGGCACTTCCTTATGAGTAAATATACATATTATATTGAAAGCTATGAAACTCTCAAATGATGTGGTGCTTGAATGCTATGTTTCTAGTTTTGTATAGATTGAAAACAAATACTTTCTCAGTGAGCTCCCTCATTATTCTAAAATATTTATTTATGTATGTAATTTGTGTTTCACAATTTTATATGTAAATACAAGAGTTTGGTGTCTGTTATAAACTGTGTGCAAGGAAACCTGTAGGGTTAATTTTATATGGTTGCATGTTTATACAGAAAAAGCTCTACAGTTCCTATAATGGATTGGCTGGAGGAAGGCTTTTTTCTGTCTAAACACGCATAGGATTGCACCCTAAATCTGTTAAAGTGGCAAAAAAGAGGACATGGTGCTAAAGAAAACATTAAACTTGTTAGAGGGTTTTTGCAACCGCATTCTTTTTATGTTCTGCTGGTATGTGCTTCTCCACTTTCCAGTTATTGTAAAATATATGCTTCCATGTTTGTAGGTGTTTAATGTCAGTGAGGGCTTGAGATTAAAATACATTCTCTACAACTGAGTCTTTGTTTATTTTGTATAGTTTTTGAAAGGCAAGTAAAGAGTAGTTATGTCCCTTCCTCCACTGCAGCCGCAGTAACGATTGCACAAAATGATTTATTGTTACATATGTAGTAATTGTTCTGAAAAACAGAAGTAACTCTTTTCTCCTGAAAGAATGTGTTATATGTTCCTTTGAATTTTTGACCAACAATTCGCTCATCATTTTCTAACTGCAGTACTACCTACCTTTGAAGGCTTACATAAATTGGCATTAATTAAACATCATTGTACCCTTTTATCTCTGAGAGTACTTATTTTTGTAATAAAACTAAGTCTTGACTGAATTCACAGATTTTTTTGTAGAGATTCAAGTGAGAGGAATATATGATATTAAGCTGGTCGTTCCCCCCCCCCCAAATAATTTGGGACATCAGATGCCATCAGTCCCATCCAGCATTGCTAATGATCAGGAGTTCTGGGAGGTATAGTCCAAAATATCTAAGGAGGGCAAGTTCAGGGATGGATGGTTTGCATCCTTCATGTTTGAATGAGTGAATTGTTAGAACTGTGCAGTTTTAGCTGTATTTATATGGATTAAAACCCCAGATGTCTTTTCTACTCTTAGCAATAAGAATTAACTAAACTGCATGTTTGTTATTTGCTCCTGGCCAAATAAAAGCACTTTCCTAACTTACTACTTGCCTGTAATGTTGAAAATAGGCTGTCTAATTCTCTAGTCTCTTCAGGCTACATGTGGAGACTTGGATGAGGGAATGCTTGTCCATGCCAAAAAGTTCTCTTCATATAGAAAACTTAGGTTATGCTAGAACCCTTGTTATACATCTGGAGAGAACACTTTTGTATGGAGGAACATTCCCTCATGTGAGCCCCCACCTGTTGTCTCATGCAGGAGAGCTCAGATTCAAGTCTGATGTACCAGTGAGAAACAAGTCGCTATTTAGGTCTTTTGGTGCTGTGTTGTGTGATAGAGAGAAGCCATCATATGCTGTTTCTTCTGGTTGCTAAAGCGAATGAGAGCACAGCTAAACTATTTAAAAGAGGTCAAGGGATTTTATCTCTGGCAGGCAAGTTTTATGTATTAACCTTATGTGTGTAGACAGAATATGTAAAAATCAAAAGAGAAAATGACCAGCAGAAACCATTTTTCATCCATCAGCCAGCTGCTGGTAAAGCTAGAGGGTGTGTCCATGCTGCCCAGCTGTGTTCTGCAGTCCCTTGGAGGATGCCAAGAAATGTGGAGGTGAAAAACTCTGGGTGTATCACAGCTGGCAAGCCCTTATTGCCGAATCCATGAAGTACATAGTTGGCACAACTTCTGGGATCCTGGCTTTGTAGCATGGAGTTTGAGAAATAATTTACTTTAACTTAGTGCTTGAGAGGCTAACTCCGAGACAGTCAACAGTAGTCAAGGAGCAGCGTCACTATCAGTATTCATATTGAAATCACCCACCTCTTCAATAACAGCTCTGTTTTATTAATGGCATTTCAAACAAAGTTGTTGAAAGAGTTGCTGGATGTAAGGCCACTTTATGTTGTAGTAGCAATGCATGTTGAAACAAGATAAATTAAAATTATCTGCTTGGTTGGGGACTGTCTTGGCAAAGAGAGGGGTTTGGTTGTGAAAGACTCCTCTGGGAATTCCTCTTCCATCCCATAGTTTACCCTATTCAGTAGTATGTTCAGGGGACTGGAGAAGCTGTCCTGGGAAGGAGAAGGCAGGGAAGTGCTCTTTTACCTCCATAGTTGCCCAAGCATGATTATGGATCCAGCCAATTACCTCAACATGGCTTGATGTCCCTAATAGTTAACATGGGTAGGTCAGTTCCCAAGAGTGAGCCAGTGCAGTGTAATGATTAGAGTGCTGGACTGGGATCTTTGGGGATCCAGGATTTAGTCCTCACTGGGAGATCTTGGGCTAGTCATTGATTCTCAGGCTAAACTAACGCACAGAACATCTGTGAGGATAAAATGAAGTGGAGGTTCATATAAACTGTCCCGGGTTCCTTGTAAGAGGTAGACAGGTGGGGTATAAATGTAATATAACAACAACAACAACAATAGATTTTGTATTGCAGAAGTAGCTGACCAAAGCAATCTGGAAAAAACCCTCTTTGAAGGAGACCAGAAGAGTGGCTACCTGGAGAAGGGCCTTTTCTGCTGTGGCACCCCAGTTATGGAACATGCTCCCCAGAGAGGTGCGCCTGATGCCAACACTTTATTCTGTTTGGCACCAGGCTGAAACCTGTTTATTTTCCCAACATTTTAAGTCTGTCTTGTTGTTCTAATGGGGTTTTATCTGAGGATTGATAATGCTGTGCCTCTTATTTTAGTAGTATCCTGAGACTTTTATGATAGGACAGTATAAAAAAAGCTTTTACTACACACATACATGCATACATACATGGGAATTCTTGGGAATTTGGGAATAATTAATGAAGTAGATTTTTAACATAATTAAACATAATATCTTGTGCATAATACAAAGGTAACATGCAGTCTAAAGTACTGTGTTAGCATTGATTGATGTAAGCAAATTATAGGCCAAAATATTTAGAAGGTCAGAATTTCATCTTTGTAGCAGCAGAACTGATAGTGAGGGATCATGGAATTAGTAGGCCAAAACATCTGGAGGGTCATGGGTTGCCCTTCCATGGCATAGATAATGACATCTTAATTATAAGGTATGCAACTTTGATACTTGCTGTGAATATTTTATGTCTAAGAGAAAGAATGCATGTGCACCTAGCAAAAGTAACTGCTTTGCATCTCTTTACCCTGCCTGCTGTCGTTCACCTTTGCCAATATCTTGAGGCTTCTTGTTTGGGGCCCTTGGACAAAACTAAAATGTAACTAAGTTTCTTGCCAGAAGGGGCATTCTTCCATCCATTTGAGTGTGGCAGAAACCTTGGGAGTGAGGAAGGAGTTGTATGAAATCACACTAAGTACCCAAATAATACTGGAAATGTATCTGTTGACTGACTTTGCTGGCACATAAGGGAAGGAGACATTTGATAGAAGTTTGAATGTTGCCTTAAATCTAGTTGGAACTGATCTCACCCTCCACCCAGTCTGTGAAACTTCAGACATGCGAAGAATAACATCATTTCTGAAATGTGTTGTATCTTCAACCAGTTCACAGCTATGTGCTCCATGAACACAAAATCCTTCAGCACATCATTGCATGGGTGGACTTGCCCTTCCTGTCTTTCCATTTGCATGCCTAATCTGTTCTGGAGGGCCCCAATGACCAGAACACATTGGGGGTAGATATATGGGGCTGCAAGGGAAGGGGGAATTTGTTCATACAGGCCTGTGGGGTCTTCTGCCAGGTGGGCACCATTGGCAGATCGATTGTCTAAGTAATTTGTTGGCCTTGGTTATTAATCTGTAAAAAGAATCGTCTGACACATGGTTTGAGTGGACATGGATGAGAGTAGGTTTGTCAAGCACTTTGCTGGTATTTGAGTCCTAAGTATGTAGATACTTTTTTTGAAAGTAATATTTATTGCTTGCACTTGAAATAAAAACTATCCCTGTAATATAAAAGAACTAATTGGAAGACTAATTAATACAAAATGAAATATTGTATTCACTTATAAATATTCATATTCACTTATTAAATGTCCTTTTCTTTTGCATTCTTTTGCTGCCTTCAACTCATTGAAATATTACTGAGAAGACTTGTACAGAGAAAAGAGTGCTAAAACAACCTGCCCCTTCAAAAAATGTTCCATTAAGATAGTGAATTTTCACCATACTCATATGCATTAACCATGGTTGCTAAATGTGTGTGTTTTATGTAGGTTGTGGAGAGCACCTGGTTCGGACCTTACTGGCCAGAGAATGTTCGTGTGCTTTGCAAAATGAGGATGCGCATCAAGCTCTGCTAGAAACTATGCAAAACAAGTTTATTAGTAAGTACGAAACTTGTCAGCAAAGCTTTTATATTTTCCCTTGATATTCTTTAGTAGCTAACGGCAGCCTCCTCCTGGCCTGACTCCTTTCTCTGCACCATCCCCAACATTCCAAAGCACTTTCCATCTAATAGCAGATTCTGGGTTCTTTAATCTCAGAATTGGTGTGCCCTTGTGACAGCAAGTGAGTAAGCGGTCTCCTGCACACTCATTGCTTCCACTTTCATTCAACAACCAGGAATCTCCCATGGGGCATCCCTGGGTTGTTGATTGAAAGTGGAAGTGGGAAGCATATGGAGAGGCAGGCAGTGCACTTGCACATTCCTGCTCATCCATGGCAATCCCTGGGCCAATTCCTGGGTTTAACCCAAGAGCTGACCCCGGAATTGCTGTTATTTGCAAATCAGGTCTATGTCAATTTTCTGCTTCACAATCTCCCCAGCTTTGCTTCAAGGACACATTCTTAGAACATGAACACACTCACTTCAGCACTATGAAATCAGTGCTCTGTTAGTTATCACCACTTAACATAGAACATGTGACATTTTCTGTTATATAGATAGCCGGTGATGTTGTACCTCTTCCTTTGAATGCTTAGCACAGCTCATGCAGTTTCCTTTAAACCCTGAAACAAGTGCATACAATCTTAATGAATGTTCCACAGAGTAACGGAATGAAGTCTCTCCAGAGTGGTACCCATATTAGTTTGTGGCAGAAGTCTACCAAAGAATTTAGTAGTAGCTTAAAGGCCACAGAATTATTAGGGCATACATTTTGTGGAATAAAATGTATTTGATATGTAGATTCTAGTTTACAACCGCTTCTGCCATAATTTAAAGGTCCCACAGGGCCATCCATTGCTTTTTTGTTATGCCAATTACAGCAAAAGACTTTGGTATCTTTGGAGCTCTTGTGGTATGAGCATGTACAATGTAGTCTGTAGACAGGATGCATGGAATGCTCTGGAAGGTTGTTGAGTCTGTAGTCTTCACCCCACCCTCATGCAGTTAACGAATTTGTACATCTGTAGGACCAGGGCCAGACATTTATGCTTTCCAATTAGTATTCTTCAGTGATACAGTACCTGTTTCAACCCATAGCAGCTTTAGATTATGAACTCTGCATTATCTGTGATTCCTTCTAGAAGAAATTGAAGCGCCAGTGGTCTCTTAATGATCTGTCTTCAGGTCCAGACTTTGGCAAATAAATAAGGAGAATGTGTACAAACAGTATTTTTTTTGCAGAATTTGTTGTAGATATTCCGTTAATAGTTGCAAAACTAGACCTGAAGAGATAAATGTCTTTAGAAATAGATGTCTTATACAAAGCAGAACCAGTGTTAGTGTACGCTCTCGGATCAGCAGGCAATACAAAGTACAGAAAAGCAGCATAAAGAAACATTTGTGGAGCTAGGTACAGTAGAACAATGAGGTAGTAATACTGAAATTTGCTGGGGTTTATTTCCCCCAATCTTTTGTTCAGTTCTTTCCCCACTATCTTGCCCTTCTGCTTTCTACATTTTTGATTTTTGTTTATTTCCATTTGTATGGAAGTATGAATGGATATGCATATGTAAGGAAAGAGATAAAAAAGTCCACAACAAGTCCTTAATAAATGGAAGTTTTTATCAAAAGGTGAAATTGTAAGCAGAGGGTTGAAGGAAAGGATGGGGGAATGGATTCTAGATTAAAAATGAGCAATTACCTCAGTGGTGGCGCCTAAGTTATGGAATGCGCTCCCCAGAGAGGTCCGCCTGGCGCCGTCGTTATTTGTTTTTCGGCGCCAGGCGAAGACCTTTTTATTTAAGCAGCATTTTAAATGTTAATATCATTGAATTTTATTTGGCTTATTTTATTCCAATGTATATATTTTAATTGTTATTGTTTTAATTTATTGTGTATTTTTTTATGTTGCGAGCCGCCCCGAGGCTACGGCAAGGGGCGGCATAGAAATGTTTTAATAAATAAATAAATAAATAAATGGGTGATTCAGGAGAGACAAAATGAGGTTTAATGAGGGAAGCTATTTCCATAGTAATGATCAAATTAGAACTGTATTTAAATTTGCTTTCAAAATTGGGGGTTGGTTGTAGCTCTCATTATTCTTGGAAATATGCATTCAATTTGTACCTAAAATGTCATTTAAATATTTGTGTTTTGGGGAGAAAGACAGCTGGCTAATACTGATTTTATCTTATATCATGTTAACTACCCACATGAATGATGGTAATCACAGATGCAAAAATATCTTTAACTGGATTAAGAACTTGATCACATTTTAACAAGATTCTGAATATTTCCCTCTTCCCAATTACATACTTCCCAAAGTATTACTGTATTTTTGTAGGTGTGTTTTTAAAAGAGATCTTTAGAGCTTTGTATGTACAATACGTGTCTTTCTATGCTGATATGTTGCTGGAGAGAAGCCTACTGTGTTTTAGTTGAAATGCTGAAAAGAAACTTTTTACAGACAGTGTACTTCAATGTTAGTCCTATTAGAGGTATGCCATCAGATCCAAAGAAGCCTGGAACCCCAGTATGTGGTTTGCTAAAAGCTGTCATTTCTCAGAATCAGCACAGCTAACTTCTTTTGCAAAAAGTACACCTAAGAGGTTATGCAAAAATACTGGGCATATGCTGAATAGCTCTTTTCTTTGGAACATTCCTCCTGTTGATTTTAAGTAATACAAAAGTTTGCTTGAGCTGTAATGTATGATGCAAGTTTTCCCTCTCCTATGAAATAACTGTGAATAAATAGGTTAATAGCCTGTTCATGACAGTATGACTTATTCTCTTGATCTCTTTTATTTAAAAAGTAACATGCTTTGTGGTCACAGTAAAACTTCTAATATAATAGTATTATTATATTTCCAGTAATAATTGCTTGGAAGAATTGGAAGTGTGTCTTAAAGAGCAATCCTGTGATCCCTAAGAGATCATCCCCGGGATCATAGGATAGGGCAGGTACCCTTTCTCAAGGTCAGATGACTTGCAGAGGGGATCTGAGATTGGATTGTTCCTTTGTCCCCTTGTGGAGGCTGCAGAAGGCACTGTGGTGGATATTCGTTCAAAGTCTCAGTACCAACATTGGAAGAGTTTGTCAAGAGGAGAAAGGAGGCAGAAAAAGGAGAGATCAGGATTTGTAGGATCCTAAAGGATTTCCATCATCTCTCCCTCCCACAGCTTAGCTGAAAATGTAAAGAAAAGGTGGAATGTGATGCTTTTTCACCTCCATTCTTCTCCCACCATGACTGAGTTCTGCTGGCGGGGTATAGAATAGACAGAGGACTCTGGTATAAAGAGCAATTCTCTATATAAGTCTTGAGGAGAGTTAAACTTGGTCTTTGCTGGGTGAGGGGGGTCCTCTCCTTCTTTGCAGAATTCAAATTTCCATAGATGCTTGGTAATGCTTCTCTTGCACATTTGGAATTTTTAAAATAACCGATGATGGACCACACTGGTGGCAGGTGTGTTTTTCCTATCTTATTTTTATAGCAAACACTGTGGTTGACACAAATCATGGTTGAGTTAAGAACAGAGCATCTGAATTACAATAGGGGTTTCTTTTCTTTTTTTTATAAGTAAAATGGATTTAATAAAGAGATAGGATGATTTGCACAACATTCTGATCTGGAGTGAAAATGGTGTTCTGTAAACAGAAGTATCTTTCATATAAAATAGGGGATTTTATAACTCATCTATTCCTTTCAAATTCAGCCAAGTTTATGGAATGCAGGCTTCACAGTAAATGTTTATCCTGTTTTGCAGGCAGGCAGATCTGGGAGACTAACTCTGGAAATATGTGTGGTTCTTCAGAATAGCACGTATAGTGCTTTTAATCCTTGCAAACCACAGATACTTCTTTCTAATGCTAGCATTGTTTAGTAAAGGGTGTTCTGTTTGATCATCTCTTTGCAACCCCATAACTTAGGAGTGCGTATGCACCTGAGGGACCCTTGCAGGAAGAGGAATGCCCTTGCTGCAGGCACCTGGCAGGTGTGCTTCTCTGTTGGCGCACAAGGCAGGAGTTGTGGCAGATGCTCTCACACCCCATTTGTCTCTCTAAAGTACTGCACACTTCAAGAAGGGATAAGCTCTTCTGCTTGAGTTTGTTTTGTAGTCGCATAAGGGTGCCTTGACAGATAGTGCTTATGTTGTGAGCCGCCCCGAGGCTTCAGCGAATGGGGCAGCATAGAAATGTTTTAAATAAATACATAAATAAATACTACTTGGCTCTAGTAAACATTGTTTGTGCCTGTCCTGCTTTGGAAAGGTCCAAGAGTGACTGGGATTTACTAGGGAGACTTACCCAAAGAGTGTTTATATCTCAGGGTGAACACTGAGAAAGAGAATTAGTTACTGCCAGAAAAGCTACAACACCATTTCAACTGGCTAAACAAGTAGACTTGGAACAGAAAATAGAATACCTTTTGCAAGCATTCAAACTACTGGAGTCTGAACAGCACTAGAGTACATTTGGATCTGACAATTCTCAGCTTTTCCACACCCCCAGTGAAAACTGAATCAAATGATTAGCACTCGTTCCTGGTGCCAAGTAGACATTCCACTTCCAACCACTGGCCATATCATCCCTGCATTGCACAGATACATGGAAGGCAGTTTCTTTTCCAGATCAAAGGAAGCAACTTTACAATGAGTCATTCGTAGATGCCAGCCTCTAAAAGACATGCTTTTGCTCGTCAGTTAAGCAAGTATAGCCATGTGCTAAGAAGCAGCAAAGGTATCTTGACCTTTAGCTTTAGATGCTCTTTCATTCCAGTGTATGTATGCAGCAGCTTCAGTGTAGTGAGAAGTCTGTTGATCATGGTTCTCCCTAGTCTCCCAGGACAGTACAGTGTTTCATTCTTGACATGAAGACTTATGGGATGTGGCTGTATTAAGAGCCTTCAGGTAGTGTCATTTGTCAGCCTTTCATACATGGCACTGATGCAATTGCTGACCAACAACTGTTGATCTCAGAAATCTCTATGTATAGTTGGA